GTTGTAAGAGGGTGCTCGTTAAACTTACCAACTGACGCATCTTCCGCGAAAGGAGGACTCAAACGAGATTATCGCTTTCGTTCTCTTCGACGGAGTTTTAGTACTATAACTATGCTTGAATAATCTTTACCAGCCGGTGCAACACCCTGAAACGCGAGCACGCGCACATAACTCAGAAAGAGACGTATGATTTATCCAACAAGAGAAAGAGAGAGAGAGAGAGAACGAGAAAGAGAGAGAGAGAGAGAGATTTTCCATGGTCGAAAGGGAAGATCAAGGACCGTCCGCGTCCGATCTGCCGTGAACATTTCCATCACTGGGATTCCGAGCTAATTCGTGCCGAGACCACGTGCTAATCCGTCTTAAGTTAAGGTTAGAGTGAGGAGTATAATAATCGAGTGGTACACCTACCTCGACCAAACTATCCATTTAAACTTCATGCTCAACCAAATTCAATGAAACTTATATACATATATTATATATTTATATGTACAAGTATTTGTGCACATATTTAACATTTTATCGAGAAAGATGTTAAATCGTTATCAATATTAATTTAGAAGAATTTAATTTATTGAGAAATTAATGTTTATTTTCATCATATTAAATTCATTTTCTTTCTAAATTCGCGTTAATCAATATTGTGAATGTATGCAAAATTTTGTCTACGCATTATGAACATTTGTGCTGTATTTAATATTTTATTGAGAAATATGATAAATCTTATCAAAATAATTAACGTTAATTTAGAAATTGATTTATATTTTTTTTTTTATATTTAATTAAATTTTCTTTCAAATTCACGTAACCCCATAATATGAACAAAATTAATGTATGCAAATTTTGTTACGCATTATGAACATTTGTGCTGTATTTAAAATTCTTATTGAGAAAGATGATAAATCGTAAATTGTTTATCTTAATTTACAAATTTATTTATATAAAATATTATCATCTTAGATACACTTTATTTTAAATTTCTATAATTAAATAATATGTACAAAATTTGTATACATCAAATTACACACTACGAGTATTTGTGTAAATGTGCTTATCTAAATTGTTCACGTTAATTTAGACATTTATTTATGTTTTATCATAGATACGTGATCTTCTAAACTCGCTTCATCCAATGAACCAAATTTGCATATATCAAATTAAAAGCACTCCGAATTATATTTTGATTTACCAACAATTACAAATGTTTTATTTGTAATTTACTTGAATTAAAATTTCAGACAATTTAATCAATTTGATAAGAATAAAATTGTCCTGAACAATCAAACAAACCTTTATCAAGTAAACCCTTAACATATAAACTTAAAATTAACATTAACTCTAATGAAAACTATCATAAATGAAATGAGAAAGAAACAAACAAATAATTCAACTTACCAAAGGTGAATAGAAGGCAGAACTGTCCATACCGATACTAGGATAAGGTGCCTGATCGGTAGTAGTAGGTGTTGTAGGGTAAGAGGAATATGAGGTAGCAGTTGGTGCCAATCTTGGATATGCACCTAATGCCAATCTCGCAGCACTATCGTATTGACAACTGCAAACTGTTTGGCCGGTAACTGGGTCCGTCATCATGGGCCTACCATTTTCACAACATCCAGGTCCCGTAGTGGCAGCTACGGGAGTAGTGGCACCACCAGATGCTCCATTTCCACCTCCACCTCCTGGTGTTGTTGTTGCCGTTGACGAAGGTGAAAGGGCACCAGGGCTTAGGGCTCCTCCTGACGACATTGCAGGCGAGGTTGCTGTTGTCGGCTGCCCGCCACTCACCAGCAGCTGTAAACCCATTTATTTTATTAATTAGTTTTGATTTTATTTCATTCATTGAATTATTTATTTTATATATAATAAATAATATATTTTAAAATATGGCATCTGCGAAAGCCACTATAGTGGTGCGTAGTGCTTAAAAGTTTAAAATTAATAGTCATAGAGTATGAATTGTCCTATCACGAACTAAAAATAATCTGACGTTTTATATTTAATAAATAGATAATAACAAAATAATATTTATTCGTCAATAGAATTGAAAAAATATTTGATTAATCTAGGATTATCAAAAAATGACTAAATCAAGGACTATCCGTTGCTACCAGTTAACTTCCTCGAACAACTTAATAGAAATATTTGTAACATATTATAGGATTAATAAAATACTTAGAAAAAATATATAATGACAAGATAAATTAACGAATATATATATATATATATATAAGTCTGATTATTTATAGTCCCAGCAAAACTCGATCATAACGATCTAATTCCTGATGACTTAACGATCTATTAAAATAAAACCTTTAAACCGTTTCTCAATCGTTCATGATATCAATACTTGATCTCTCGATGATGTAATAACCATAAATTTGTATGACATTAGCAACAGATTAAACGATAATTATATTATCTATTAGATATCTTCTATAATCAAACAACTAATAAACTACAAATATAAATGCAATATAATGTTTATACTTTCAGATCAAAAGCTCATCTTGCCGACATCTTTTGCATATTTTACTTGTAAATTCAACTGCACAATTCACCAATACACACACACAAATACACACAAAGAGATTAGCAATTTGAACAATGCAAAATAATAAATTGTATCCACTATACTTAGATAAACAATGGGTTGTTCATTTTGTACAAAGTATAGTATTAAAACGTGCTGAACACGTTGAGCTTCTTAACCGGTATTAGTCGCGATCTCACGAATCAGGTGAACTTTCTTGACCCTTTGGAAGCTCGATACGGAATATTCTAGCATCTAGATAGTTAAAGATCGGCATACCTTTTAACGGATACGATCTTAGGATAGATTACAAAATAAGGCGGTACTATTCGAAGGCGTGGCGTTAGTTCCATTGAAAACAATGGTTTGAATTTCTTTTTTTTTTTTTCAAATAGTACAAATAAAACTCGTTCAACAATAACAATTTCTACGTCAATTCATCCTCAATCAAAGATAAGATTATAAAAAGATATTAAATTAAATTACATGAATTTCATATACTCTTGTAACAGAATTCAAATATTACAAAAATAAATCTAAATTACTTGAAATAAATCTTGTCTAGCAAGTAATAGATATACACTTGTATATTTTATGACAAGTATGACACAAGTTGTCAAGTCATTAAATAATTTTATTGTTATTAGATATGTATAATCATTATTTAGTATAGAATAATGTTTATTTCATATGTTAGGTTGCAACGTTTTTATTATATTCGATTGAGAACATAAAGTTTTTGTTTTACATAATGTTACTAAATAGTTAACTGTAATTGACTAGTATTACACCTCATCGAGAAATTTGCAATTTTTTTTTTTATGATACAAAACTTAAGTAGAATACTTTTCAAATGGATTACAAAAGTTAACCGATTAAATATTTAATAATAATAATTACAAATATTAATTAAAAGTTCTTTTAATATTTGTATGAAAATATTTTTAAAACAAGTATTATTAGATGTAATATTTTGTTTTACATCAAATGAAATATGTATATATGTATATATGTTTGTATATGTTTAAGTATGTGTGTTGATTACCTAGTCACGATTCATGATAAAAAAAAAAAAAGAAGGTGTTTAGTTGCATGAGTTTCATTGAAAGTGATCTTTAAACTAAATCAAACATTTTTGTATTCTTTTTATCTAATACAATACAAATCAATGATTGGTCAGTTCGATAAACTTCATTAGAATTGATGTTTGATATACCAAATGGAAGGAATTGTAGTGCGTTGTTTCATTAATATCATGGCACACCTGTTGGTTTTACCACGATACTGTATATCTCTTTCAGTCTAACTAATAAAAAAGGTAATTAGTATTACCATAAGCGTTAACTGTCGATAAATGGTAGGTTAAGAAAATGGAACAGTTTGTATTATATAATGACGTGATAAAGTATACCATGACTGATAAAATTAAACACGTGTAACAATTAAAAATTAAAAATAAAACAAAAAGAGAGGAGAAAAAAAAATAAAGAAAGAAAAAACAAAATGTAAAAAGGAAATAATAAATTACTTGATAATTATCATTAGTTTATTGTTTGACTTTTAAAAGGTGTAATTATGTTATTGTTATTTAACTTTTAAAAATAATATTTATGACCATCTTTTAACAAGTTCAAACTGAAAATATAAATTTGCACACGCACACACACACACACACACACACATACAAAATTATCATAAAATTTTATGAGCTTATTTTAATATTAATTGTAAAACGTACAATGAGGACACATATTTGTTATTTTGTACGAATATAAATTTTGTAATTTAATTGATAATTAAAAATATTGAAATTATTTTTGTATCGTAATAAAATCACACAAATTATTCATACGTGAAAAACATGAGTTTAACTAATATAATATAATAATTATAGGTAAAAACAAGGAGATACAATTTGTAACTAATTCCTAATTTACTTATTTCAAGTTCTATTAAGAATAGCATTTATCAGATGTAAAAGAAAAAACAAAAGAATTAACTTAATTTATTTCAAATATAAATATATATGTTATAGAATATATGATAAATATCAAAATTAAATTATAAATTAATTGCATTTATAATTAATATACTAATATATTTTGTTTTATTTAATATAATAATATAATAAATAAATATTTTATTAAATATTATTTTTATTATATTACATTTTTTAATTATTTATATTATATTATATTTATTACTATATATATTCAATTTAATATAATAATATTTTTATTTATTTTTTTTTTTTTAATAATATAAATAAATTCAAATAAGAACTTGATTTCACATATTTATTTATTTAGAATTGAATGGAAGTATGCAATTATATAAAATAAAAAAAAATAAAAATAAAAATTACAAAAATACGTGTATAAATATATATATACAAACACGTTAAAAAGATATATAGAATAAAAATGTTCAAGATGAATTAAAATCATAGTTAAAATCATAGATTCGTATGGTATCCCATAGTAATGAAAATACGTTAGGTATATTCCACGGTAAATTAGCTCGTTGTAAATGAGGACGGAACGAATCCCAGTAATTAATACGGCAAGGGCGTGGAGTTATTTCGAGAGAAGAGGTAGCTCCCTATCTCCTACTTCTCATTCTCTCTCTTTCTCTCTCTCTCTCATTCTTTCTTTCTCACTCCAGTAGGATGCTAGAACTCGTATCCACCTTGATAAACCCTTTCCACTAACTTCCCGCATTCCGTCGGCAAACGGTTCGAGTGAGAGACGAGAGAAGTGAGAACGAAGCTTGAAACTGCAAACATATGAACGGATTTGTGTTCTATCTTTCTCTCTTTCTCTCTCTCTCATACATATATACATATATACATATACACTTTCAGTTTCTCCGTTTAATGTAAACCTTTCTATCAAGGAAATTGTAGAGAGTTGGACAAGCGTAATATCGCGTGAATGTGTGAATTCATGACTCGGTATAGGTAAAACTCAAATATAACAACATACAAGGTACTTGAAAATTTGATGGGAAACATATCGGACACATATAACGTCCTATTGGTATATCATGTAGGATAAATTGTATATGAATGTTCGCGTGATATTTCGAGATGAAAAAAGAACATGAGAGAAAGAGAGAGAGAGAGAGAGAGTACCTTTCTATTCGTAGGCCATGTTGAAATCACCAGAGAGTTCGAGTAAGAAAAAAGAAAGATAACGCCTACGAGTTTAAATGATAAATAGGATCGACGAAAATTTGATTTCTTAGTTGCTTCCGTCTGACATTAATCCGTTTTGAATTATTAAAGGTGTGGATTTAATCCAGTTTATGTTTTATTAGACACGCATATACGTATAAGGTGTCCCAAAGGTAACTGTACGATAATTCAGGATCTAATTGTGGTATGGATTTTTTTGCTTTTTTTTTTCAATATCATTTTTTTAAGATATTTATTTAAGTGTTAATGTATACCTCGTAAGTTATTAAATAAAAATGTATTTAGGTATTTTTTGTTTAAAAATCATTAGTTTGTTAGATATTTTGAATGATGTCAAATGCAATAAGCAATTTTTTGACGTGTTGTATATTCCGTTTAGGTTAAGTTTAGAAAAATTATTTTAGTAAAATAGAAAAATGTTTAATTGAAAATACATTTACGATTTGTTTTGATATTGTAGTTAAATAAATATTGCAATTATTAATTAAATTAGGAATGACAAGATTATAAATGCTAATTTTCAATGTGTTGTATATTTCGTTTTGGTTAAATTTTGAAATTTAATTAAAGGAGAAAAATAATTAACGATTTACAATTTGTTTTGATTTAGTTGTTAATTAAATATTGCAATTATTAATGAAATTAGGATTGACGAAATTTAAATGATTATTAGATTGTTCACTGTGTATATATTTGAAGTATTATAATAAAGTTGAAGGCAGACGTACTCGAACGTTTACCTTTTTCGGTAGGTCATTTAGTTTTCGAGGCTTGCGATGGAATCGTTTCTCGTGATCGTTCAACCCAACAGAGCCATTTATTCTCGCGAGTCGTGAAATCGTGCCACCGTCGTCGTGGTGGAACGTTTCGCCTGGGCAAACGGAGATCGCCAATAAATCGCGTCGCGTGCTGTGCCATTGCCGTGCGACGATTAATAATCGTGAAGTCCCGAGAGCTATTCGATTAAAACGCGCAAAATACCGCACGGGGTATCGAACGATTTTCTCTTTCTCTCTGGTTATCAGAGATATTACCTATCCTGTTTCACCAATGTTAAACTGAGAG